TGCAGCTTACCTTTATGATTTGGGAGAAATTACACTTACTTATTATACATGAAACTGAGTAAATGACTAAGTAGAGCTTTTTATTTTCTTTAGATAAGACACTGAATGATGGAGTTCACCTTACATACAGCACAAATACATAACATACATCTCTTTGTCACATTAGGTGATTGTTGTTAATGTTACACTCAATGAATTCCCTTGTTTATTCTCAATAGTTAAACTCCTCTAAATTCTCCGTGGTGGAGTCAGGACATCTCAGATAATAAAGAGAAACAGTTACTGTCGACCATTCACCCCGGGCTTACGTTCACATAAATGGGAGAAACGCCAAGACACACACACACACACTTTCTGTATCTCACACACTCTCTGTCTCTCTCACACACAGTTACGCAGAGTGCCATATCTGTCCAAACAAATAGCACATGCTCTTTGTCTTTTATAACAAACACAGAGTCAACGTGTCTTCTACTAATACAAATAGAGAGGGAGGAGGAGGAGGAGGAGGAGGAGGGGGGGGGGGGAGGAAGACCTCCTCACGTTCTGCTGTCTGTGAAACACTCAGATTTCCAGCTGGTTTGACCTGCTGACCCCACAGCTGTGACTGTGTGTCATCATGTGACAAAAGCCTTCAGGACAAATACGTCTCACTCCTCTCTGTTAATGATTCACTGGTTGCTGCAGTTTCAGGCTTTGCTTGAAATGAAATGTAACTACTAAGGTATTCTTCTTTAAGCTCTGATGTCATGGAGTAGAGCAGTTATGACGTATTTTTGTAGGAAGTTAGCATCTTCTTCCCTCGACAAGAAGTTTGAAATCAAATTTATATTTACACATTGTGTTCAACAGGATCATCTCCACATATCAACATCACTTTAAGATCTTTAGCATAGAAAGCTAACATTAGACTATACAGGAACTACAGCACGGTCACATGACTTCAAGTCACCACCGCTAAGCTAAAGGTGGCTAATGTTGGGCTATAAAGGAACTACAGCACGGTCACATGACTTCACCCGCTAAGCTAAAGGTGGCTAATGTTGGGCTATAAAGGAACTACAGCACGGTCACATGACTTCACGTCACCACCGCTAAGCTAAAGGTGGCTAATGTTGGGCTATAAAGGAACTACAGCACGGTCACATGACTTCACGTCACCACCGCTAAGCTAAAGGTGGCTAATGTTGGGCTATAAAGGAACTACAGCACGGTCACATGACTTCACGTCACCACCGCTAAGCTAAAGGCGGCTAATGTTGGGCTATAAAGGAACTACAGCACGGTCACATGACTTCACGTCACCACCGCTAAGCTAAAGGCGGCTAATGTTGGGCTATAAAGGAACTACAGCACGGTCACATGACTTCACGTCACCACCGCTAAGCTAAAGGCGACTAATGTTGGGCTATAAAGGAACTACAGCACGGTCACATGACTTCACGTCACCACCGCTAAGCTAAAGGCGGCTAATGTTGGGCTATAAAGGAACTACAGCATGGTCACATGACTTCACGTCACCACCGCTAAGCTAAAGGTGGCTAATGTTGGGCTATAAAGGAACTACAGCACGGTCACATGACTTCACGTCACCACCGCTAAGCTAAAGGTGGCTAATGTTGGGCTATAAAGGAACTACAGCACGGTCACATGACTTCACGTCACCACCGCTAAGCTAAAGGCGGCTAATGTTGGGCTATAAAGGAACTACAGCACGGTCACATGACTTCACGTCACCACCGCTAAGCTAAAGGAGGCTAATGTTGGGCGTGATGACACACCGTTTTAAAATTAACCAGTGGTGTATTTACTGGCGTATTTTATGTCATGGAAACACATTCATTTAGCTTGTGTTAACCACAGACTTTATTTAAGGCGTCTAACCAAAAACCCTTTCAGCCACAGGAAGTGGTCAAATTACGACTTATTTCCAGGCTTTAGGACTCTTTCCTGCACTACCCTATATAACAACAGACACACAAACAAGTCAACATAGCGCTAGACATATGGACTATCATTGCTTACATGTCATCCTTGTGTAGGTTTAGCATTCTCTTCAGCAGAAAAAACACAGATGGAAAACAGTTGAACAAATGTAATCCCATATTGAAAAACCGTTGTATAACTAATGATTATATCAACAGTAATGTTACTTTTATACTGACGTTATTCAAAAACGATATACTGAAGCTTTGTTTAAGTGTATGTGTGTGTGTGGCCTAGCATTACTATCCTTGTGGGGACCTACATCTGTTTACGCAGTCACTTGTGTGTCCCCATAAGGGGGTTATGGGGACATAATGGAGGTCCCCATGAGAGGAATCATTAATTTTAGGGTGAAGACTTGGTTAGGGTAAGGTTAAGGGTAAGGGTTAAGGTTAGGCATGTGTTGGTTATGGTTAAGGTTAGGATAAGTCTCCAGGAAATGCATGTAAGTCAATGTAATGTCCCCTGAAGTGATGTATACATGGTGTGTGTGTGTGTGTGTGTGTCTGTCTGTCTGTGTGTGTGTGTGTGTGTGTGTGTCTGTACCGTATTGATCCACTGAACAGCACGGGGTCCTGCAGGATGATGGAGAGTCTCGACCTGAGCGTCTGCAGAGGAAGTTTACAGATGTCGATCCCATCGATGACGATCTTCCCTGCGAATAAATATAAATAAACATATGCTCTAATTACAACCCATAAAAAAACATTTAGTACAACAATAAAACCAAATCTTCTTTGCCTCCTATAGTGTAAATGTGGCACCTGGAGTAGTTTAGCAAATGTGATGAAGTTGATGTACTCCACAATTTAAAATGGTCCGATAGTTTAGCTTGTGAGTTTTAAAAACACATCCGATCAAGTAATTTAATTATATTTATTCTTACTTACACTTCTACGATTATATTAATATTTTTGTTTTCTTTTATTTCATTCTTAAATGGAGCAACTGTCACAAAAACCTGCACACAGAAAATAATGGCAAGTTTTTCCTATATTGTCAAAAAATACTGCTTCTTTTTCTGGCATTTTTAAACCAAAACAATCCAATTAAATCTGTATTTATAATTTAACACTCCTCTACTAGTTTGCCTTGCAATGCCTTACATAAATATTTTAGTTGTGTTGCATGCAATGTGATATTTTTGGGCTCATGAACCCAGGATGTTCTGAGCAGAGAGGACGCTCTGCTTTTATTTCACTGCTTTATAAGGAAACGCTGCCGAAACACACGTCTTAATTTACTGTTTAATGAAATGTCTGCCCAGCTGTGTGTGTGTGTGTGTGTGTGTGTGTGTGTGTGTGTGTGTGTGTGTGTGTGTGTGTGTGTGTGTGTGTGTGTGTGTGTGTGTGTGTGTGTAATGGAAAAAGTGACTGTGTAATCTCGTTTTTGTCTGAATCATCGGTCAACGAGCAATGGTCTTTATCTAGAGTGAAAACAGAATGATACGATTACTTTAAGGGATTTTATTGCTTTTCAATGTCTGGAAATGACCGCAGGAAAATGTGCCACATCTTTATCAACGTTCTTAATTTAATCTTCTTTTAAAAAGAGTCTACTTCAAGTCCTTTTATCAGGTATTTCAAAGTAAAATACAACACACTGAGGAACACAAAGAGAGACCTGCAGGAGAGTTTAAGAAGAGCCGAAATGAAGGTTAAATAAACATTTTCTCCAGCATAAACACACACCACTATAATAACAGTGGACGTTTGGACATCTGAGGGGAAACCAGTCGACTAATTAACCTCCAGTAATGCTTTAGTTTAACCAAAACTCATTTAGATATCTCATCAGTGTGCAACTCGATTTTGACAGGAAAGCTACTGGAGACTTCTAGAATTGTGTGAGTAACATTGTGTTTTTAGACTTCTCTGTTTCAGTGTGTGTGCTCTGAATCAATGCTCTGTAGTTGATCTGACTGAAATTGTGATTTTAAATCTCAAAACCGCTACAGTATCTGTCAGGCAGAAACTTGGGACAAGTAATTTGAGTGAAACCTTAAAAGTGAACTAACTGACTGCTAGGGTTAACTTTGATTTAAACATTTGTAGAATACTAAGAGCTTTATTGAGTAGGTGTAACTGTATTAAGGGTTAAACTCATAACTTTATAACTTAGGGTTTAATGTAATTGACTTAAAAGACAATAACAAATCAGGAGGAAGCCAGTCTAGATTTCCTTTTGAGGGCCACCAGCTGCAGAGAGTTAACTAATTAAAGGGACGTTGCCCCACAGCTGTGAGAACTCAGCAATCAGGTGTCCATTTTAGGTAGCACTTTCCTGGAGTGTCAGCTCCAGCGTCAGACAGGCAAAGACATTAGAGTCCTGCAGGAGTCACGAGGGAGGCAAAGACATTAGAGTCCTGCGGGAGTCACGAGGGAGGCAAAGAGGAGGCAAATCCTACTTTGATTGAGCTAAGTATCGCTGGTGTTTTATTTTATTTGGTTGTTTAGCCCCTCATGCTATAATCATGTGTATTTTCTCCATTCCTGTTTATGTGTCTTCTCGCAATTATCACTGGCCCCGTGTATCTCGTAATCAATATAACCGGCCTGCTCTCGTCTATCCCACATGCTCCACTGAGATCCAACATCTAGTTTCAGGCGGCCTGTGGAACTGCCAGTCAGCTGTTCCTAAGGCTGACTTCATCTCTGGCTATTAGGGATGTGCATCTCCATCACTGAGGCCGATGCGATGCGCATCTCGATACGTTGCCACGATACGATACATTAACGATACATTTGAAACACCAGGCGATGCGATACGATACGATTCACCCCTGTTGCGATACAGTTCGATACGATTTGATTCAACATTATGCGATTCGGTGCGATACGATGCGATTCAACACGATGCAAAAATAATGATACTTCAATTTGGTACGACAGAGGATTTTTGTTTTATTCCTTATATGCAGCAAATCATACATTAACAAAAAAGTGCTTTACATATTTGGTACTGCACATCCCATCATGCCGTTTATTTTTTTACCTTTAAAAGCTCTCCAGAGTACAATTGTATAACACCTCACAGTTAAACAATGTAAGGATGCATTGCTCATGATTAACAATGTGCAAATAACAGCTACCATAGAGCAATGCCCATACAGCTGCCAGCCTGATGTGCTTAACACTCATTCATAGGCTAACTCACCAGTGAGCAGAAAGCGGTGGGTTCTATATGAACAATAAAGAATACAAATAACCTTTCACAAACAGGTATTTCATAACTGCTTACAGTAAGTAAGACATTTACATTATTATTGGCCGTCACAGGCTGCTGTAAACTAAACACCACTCTCTCTGACAGAACACCTCACTGAGTGATTTAACTCATATGTCTAACTTTGAGGTTTCTCTTTTCAGCCGCAGACCCCATGTCGCCTCTTTATGTGCGTCGCTAAGTTCCTCGTACTACTTGTGTACTTTAAAGCGGCTCGGCATCGTTAACAATTTACGAGCGATTTTTCAAGTTGACCGTCTGTGCCGCGCACATATACCATCAGGACGTTACTGATGGGGTGCGGCTGCGGAGTGATACTGTGTGTATGCAAGCCCGCGTCTAGGACGGATCTATATATCATGGCTGTAGACCAAGTAATAAAGATACCTCATACAAAAGTCTACGGATACCTTATTACTCTCCATGACCTGCGGTCAACTATATAGCCTAGCATAAAGGACTATTACACCGTCTTTCTTGAACAATCCGAAGTGTTACCAAACGTTTGATTTGTAGGTATTTTTCGGTGCGCTGTGTTTCTCTTTCTCCTAGACTTCCGTGTGTGTTGATAACTGAGACTCTCGGCCTCCGTAGTGGCGAAGCAAATATCAAAGATCGTCTCTGCTGAGCGTTGACAAGGTTAGGGGATTTTATATGAATGAATCGGTTTTTTACCGATGCAAAGACGCTACGCCATCGATGCATCGCGAGTTCAACCCGGTTCAACCCAAACTGTAGCCGATGTGCACTCTTTCAACCGGTGCACTCGCATCTTGAACGTTTATGCCGGTGCACCGATGCGAATCGGTGAATCTTAACATCTCTACTGGCTATGCTTCCCTGCAGTCTCTGGATTTCCTTGCTCTCACTGAGACCTGGATTACTCCATCCAACACATCCACCCCAGCAGCTCTCTCCACAGCATATTCCTTCTCCCATACACCCAGACCCACTGGCAGAGGAGGTGGCACTGGTCTCCTGCTCTCTCCCAAATGGAGCTTTTCCCTCTTCAAGCTACCTAACTTCACTCCTTCCACCTTTGAATTCCATGCCGTCACAGTAACCCATCCTATACAATTAACCATTGTTGTTCTCTACCGTCCACCAGGCGCCTTGGGGGACTTCTTGGAGGAATTAGATCATCTCCTCTCACACATCCCTGAAACTGGTCCTCCCGCTGTACTTCTCGGAGACTTCAACCTCCAGACGGGGAAGATAGACGAACTAACATCTCTGTTAACCGCCTTTGCTTTCTCACAGTCTCCTTCCCCACCAACTCATAAAGCTGGCAATGTCCTTGATCTCATATTATCAAGGAACTGCGCTACTTCTAACCTCTCTGTAAACCCGCTCCACACATCCGATCACTTCTTCATTTCATTCTCTACCCCTTTCCAAACATAACAAACTAATCTCTTCTCATCCTGCACCTGTCCGCCGTAACCTTTGTTCCCTCTCCCCCTCTACCTTTGCCTCATCGGTGCTCTCAGCCCTCCCTTCCTCTGACTCGTTCCAACTACTACCTCCAAACTCTGCAGCAGAAACTCTCCTCTCTACTCTCTCATCCTCTCTGGACTCTCTCTGTCCTCTCACATCTCGGCAGGCTCGTCAGTCCCCTCCTGCTCCCTGGCTAAATGATGCACTACGTGCTAATAGAACCGTCCTTCGGGCAGCAGAGCGGAAATGGTGGAAATCCAAACACCGTGACGACCTCCTAACCTATCAGGCTCTCCTCTCCTCTTTCTCTGCTTCGATCTCTCAGGCAAAAAGCACTTTCTTTCAAGATAAGATCCAATCTTCCTATTCCAATCCCAAAAAACTATTTTCCATCTTCTCCTCCCTCCTGGACCCTCCGAAAGCTCCTCCCCCCTCCTCACTTCTGTCAAGCGACTTTGTTAACCACTTTGAAAAAAAGGTTGATGATATTCGCTCTTCTTTTTCTGACTCACCTTTACTCACCGCTGGGTCACCAGACCCTCCTTCCACCCACACACTGACCTCCTTTTCCCCTCTCTCTCCAAGTGAGGTTCTTACCCTCATTACCTCTGCCCGCCCTACCACCTGTCCTCTGGACCCTATCCCTTCAAACCTCCTTCAGACTATCGCTCCTGATATTCTACCGTTTCTCACCCATTTCATCAACACTTCTCTAACTTCTGGTCACTTTCCAAACAGTCTCAAGGAGGCAAGAGTAAACCCTCTCCTAAAGAAACCCACTCTCAACCCGTCAGATGTTATAAACTACAGGCCTGTCTCTCTCCTCCCGTTCCTGTCTAAAACACTTGAACGCGCTGTCTTTAGACAACTCTCCTGTTATCTCAATCAGAACAACCTTCTGGATCCGCACCAGTCTGGTTTCAAGGCAGGTCACTCCACAGAAACTGCCCTCCTTGCTGTCACTGAGGAACTGCACACTGCTAAAGCAGCCTC